CTGACAGAAGCGAGGCTGCCATATCGCGCCATCGGCCCCTCTGGCCAACACCAGGGTAAAGTGTCTTGCCCAAGGACACAAGGACCAGGACAGAGAGCCCGGGGATCGAACCGGCGACCTTCCGGTTACAGGCACGCTTCCCAACCCCCCGAGCCACGGTCGCCCTGTGGGTTACCACCTCAAACACTAACAATTTTTGAGGGGTAAAAACTCTACTGAAGCCTAGTGGTGATATTTTATACACTTTAACTTTGAACAAAGTGTCAGTACCCCATGTCTAATATTTAATTAAAGGAGAGTAAAGGCAGAATATCCACATGACACCTAAAAATATTTTTTATCTAGCTTTGGTAAAGTGGTCAGAGAGTAGATTAAAGAACTGTTTTGCACCCATTGCAAATCAGTCTTTCACATCACACATACCTCCACTCGACTGCCTATGGAATATTTATAGAATCTAAAAATACAGAAGGAGTCAAAATCAGTCATGAGCTTTGAAATATGAGCTGTGAGCAAAACCGTGAGGTTGGACAGAAAACATAATGACTAACTGTTGAAAATGATTTAAAAAGACATGCATTCAAATCTTTACTAGTTGCTATTCTGAATTTATTTCCACTAGAAAATGCAATTTCACCTAAAGATGGCAGAAAAACATGATTAGCTAGTCAAGCAATCCCCAGCCAAAAGTTATTGGTTCACATTTCTGGTGTTTGGGCTCATCTGTAAATACCACATTACCTTAACTTTAAACTTGCTTTTTTCAGTTATCTTTAACAAATGGCTATATCATGCTCCGGGGCATCTAAAGATCTTAAAATGGGGTAACATTTGTATCAAAGCCTACCCAAGCTCAATCCCACTGCACATTGTAGATATTTTAAGTGAATCCTTGAGTGGTCATTTGAAGAAAGAACAGGCAAGCCCTTATTTCCCCATGGCTGCTACTTGATAACATATCGTCCTCTTCTGGAATCTAAATCCGACGTGCTAATGTTGGTAGTAACAGGGGAACAAGAGTTCTAAAGACACAGGGAGCGTTACAGCTTTTGACAGCAACTTGCAAATTATGGCAGTGGTGAAAAAGAATCTAACCATAAGCTGTAAAGGGTAAACCATTGTTCTAAATAAAAATAGACAAGAAGAAAGCGAGCCATAGCTCGGTCTCCTTTTGAAGAAGCAGATGAAAAGCCTGCTCTGAGACAGAGACCGTGGCTACATAGTGTTCTCCTGGGAAAAAAGAGCACCGACTGTTCTGTCATCTCATCCACGAGCTGGACTGAGTGTGTTCCCGCGGCTGTTTTTACACTGATGTAATATCAGGCCATAACTAAAGTTATCGGTGACATGTTTAATAAAATATTTTATGTGCAAAAGTTTACATTTTGTTTTTTTAAATATCCTATAAGATCAATTTACTAGTAAGGACATTTTTAGTGAATAATCAAGTGAGTTGTTTCATTTTCAACAGATTAACCAAAGCATTGGTTTAGGTGGGCCCCCAGATCGAGGTCAGATGAAATAATGGCATATCAGCTGAAGACTCAGCTACTGAGTTAGTTATTCTGATACGCTGCCAGTGAAAAGCTTGGACACCTTCTCATTTAATGTGTTTTTTCTTTTACTACTTTTTACATTGTAGGTATGAAATGAAAGCATCAAATGTATGAAGCAAGATATATGGAATTATGCACCAAAGAAAAACATGAGTTTCAGTTTCAGTTTTCAGTTTTATTTGTCATATGCAAGTTAGCACAGGGTCAACATTGCAATGAAATGTGTTTGACGAGCAGCAGTCACTCAGATATATGTATCTATAAATATAAATATATGTATACTAGTGATTAAATAAGAAAATCTTGAAAAGAAATATGACGGGAGGGCAGATGGGATATTGCACAGGAATGAGCAGCAGAAAATTACAGTATTGCACTTTTAAATATAAATATCAATAACAATGAAGTGAAGTGACCAGTGCAGATTTAAACAGAGTACTTGTGAAGCTGCAGGGTAGCTTCTGAGTGCTGTGTTGTGTGTGTTTAAGTGTTGTGGTTGAGGTGTCGTACGGCTTGGTGGTAAAAACTGTTTTTAAGTCTTGTAGTCCGAGCAGACAGACTCCTGTAACGTCTGCCAGATGGTAACAAGGAGAACAGCTGATGTGCTGGGTGGCTGTGGTCCTTGAATGATAAATAACTCTAAATATGTTTTATATTTTCGATTCCTGAAAGTAGCCACCCCTTTGCTTTGTTGACAGCGCTGCAAACCCTTGGCCTCTCAGTGACCTTCATGATGTAGTCACCTGAAATGGTTTTCACTTCACAGATGAGCCTTGTCAGGGTTTATTTGTGGAATTTGTTGTTTTCTTAATGGGGTTGGGATCATCAGTTGTGTTGTTTTCTGCCTCTGTAAAGCACTTTGTGATTTTATCTTGAAAGGTGCTATATAAATAAAATGTTATTTATTTATTTATTTATTATTTGTGCATAAGTCAGGTTGGTACACAGCTGACAGCTCTATTTGACAAGTGTTAGAATTCATATTATGGCAAGAACCAATCAGCTAAGTAAAGAGAAATGACAGTCCATCATTACTTTAAGAACTGAAGGTCGGTCTGTCTGGGAAATTTGACTTTGAATGTGTCCCCAAGTGCAGTCACAAAAACCATCAAGAGCTACGACGAAACTGGCGTACATGAGGACAACCCCAAGAAAGAAGGACCAAAAGTCACCTCTGCTGCTGAGGATAAATTCAGCCGAGTCATCAGCCTCAGAAATCGCAAGTTAACAGCACCTGAGATTACAGACCAGATAAATGCTGCACAGAGTTCCAGTAGCAGACACATCTCTACGTCAGCTGTTCAGTGGAGACTGCGAATCAGGCCTTTATGGTCAAATAGCTGCTAAGAAACACTACTAAGGAAAAGCAACAACCCAAAGAAGATTTGTTTGGACCAAGAAACACAAGGAATTGCCATTAGACCAGTGGAAATCTGTGCTGGGAGGAGGTGTGATGGTGTGGGGGTGCTTTGCTGGTGACTCTGTTGGGGAATTATTCAAAATTGAATCCACACTGAACCAGCGTGGTTACCACAGCATCCTGCAGCGACATGCCATCCCATCCGGTTTGCGTTTCGTTGGACCATCATTTATTTTTCAGCAGAACTATGACTCCAAACACACCTCCAGGCTGTGTAAGGGCTATTTGACCAAGAAGGTGAGTGATGGAGTGCTGCGCCAGATGGTCTGGCCTCCTTGGTCACCTAAACCCAGTCGAGATGGTTTGGGATGAGATATCAGATGTACTGCAAGAGCAAAGAGCAGGTTCAAATCATATATATCAGAATATTTATATTACAGAGATGCTGAGCACTTGTTGGCCCTTTTGCCTTCACTCTGCAGTCCATCTGATATTGTTGCGATTCTTTGCCAACAAATCTTTGTTCAGGTTTACTTCAGTGGCATATCTCTATCTTTGGGCAGGCTGTGTATCTTTGTATCTGCAAGCTGCTTTGTAACCCACCTCTACCCCAGCTACCCACATAGCAAGGAGGTCTGGCCCGGATCTGGTATCAAGCCGGTACTGCTGGCTGACTTCTGGCATGGTAAAACGTATGACATCAAGATATGGGCCAGGTATGGCATAGATGGCACT